ATTCAACAACAATATCGCAAAATAACTTTAAAAAAAGCATATCTTTAGAATTTCCGATAGTCTCGCGCGCTGGAGATAAAAATGTTATTTTTTCGTACAGTGTTGCCATTCCTCGCTTTGAAATCGTTGACTTTTTTAATCAAAAATTCTTTAATGTCTGACAAAATGTGAAATGTGATAATAAAACAAATTCCAAATTAGGGCTTCCAGATGCCCGTATCCGGTGGAGAATTATGTTATTCCAAATTTAATGGCTTTAGGTACCGCTGTTTTGTCACAATGCGAAAAACATACATTCATTTATGCAGATTCTTTATTATTTAATTTCTTTAAATATAATAAAGAGCTGTAATATTTGGTGGTAACAGTTTGAAAAGAGAATCAAAGCAAAATGCGAAAACGAAATTAATATCTCTTCTTGGCTAACGCCCTTTTGGGCTAATACAGGGTGATTATAATTAAAGTTTAAGTTTCAAAACGCTATAAAAAAAGAACCACTGATGAAAATGATGTGAAATTTGAAAGGAATGTTATTGAAGAAGGCGGAAAGCGTATGGCAGAAGAAAAAATTTAGTTTCAAAAGGTAGCAACAGATGGCGCTGTAAGCGGCAGAATCACGACTAGAAACGAGAAATGATTCGTAAAACAACGGCTAAGGTGAAAGTTACACATTAAAACGCATTGACAAATTAGAATTGTTGAATAATTTTATTTGCATGACTGTACATATCACATCGAAAGGGACAAATCGGTTTCAAGACTTTTGCGGCGACATACCGCATAAGAACCATTCATCAAAGAAGTTCGGAACTGTCGCGAGACTGGCGCAAAACATGTTCAATATGGTGTCCACCGTTGTGTGCAACAAGTTGAAAGCGGCAAGCATGTTCCACAACGGATCGCAGTGTCTCCGGGGTGATGTTCAGAATGTCTTGCGAAATGCGTGCCTTTAATTCCGCTAAATTTGCAATTGGAGCACGGAACACAACATCCTTCAGATATCCCCACAGCCAAAAATTACACGGAGTAAGATCAGGCGATCGGGACGGCCAGGCTGTAGGGAAATGACGGCTGATAATTCGAGCATTTCAGAAATGGCGCCTCAGCAGCTGCTTCACGGGATGTGCAATGTGCGGAGGAGCGCCATCTTGCATAAAAATGATTTCATCCACACATCCACGCTGTTGCAGAGCTGAAATCACGTGGCTGCGCAAAAGAGACGCATACCTCTGACCAGTGACGGTTGCGGTAACAGGACCGGAAGCACCCGTCTGCTCGAAAAGATATGGTTGTAGGATGAATGATGCCGTAAAGCCACACCATACCGTGACCTTTTCAGGATGAAATGGTACGGGGTGCGTTGCCAGTGGATTTTTCTGTTGCCCATATTCGACAATTCTGGGTGTTCACGTATCCTGTCAGATGGAAATGGGCTTCATCTGTCCACAAAATTTTCCACGGCCATTCATTATCCACTTCCATGCGAGCCAGGAATACTAACGCAAACGTCTCCCTAGCTGTCAGGTCAGACGGAAGCAACTCCTGCACATGGCCAATTTTGTACGGATAGCATTGCAGGATGTTTCGTACAATTTTCAGCACCGTGCTCGTAGGCCTGTCCAATGTTCGGGCAATTCCTCGTGCACTGCACGGTTGCACACCACCGGCCGACCCCTCCTGTAATGCTGTGGCCACTTCTTCAACTACCGTCGAATGCACTCGTTTTCTCCCTCTACCAGATTGCACATCAAACGAACCTGTCATTTCGAATTTTTGCATCATTTTCTTTAGACCTACGACACTCATTGGACCAACGCCTTCTTTTATACCCTTCAATGTCCTGAATTTTTGCAGAGCTACTCTTGAACAATCATCATTATTGTAATACAGCTTTACCAGCAGAGCGCGGTCCTGCAGTGAAACACCCATGGCGAACGTCTGAGACGTGAAATGAGGAATAGCCTGGCACCTGGCGGCTTTATAACACTGAAATTTAACTAACATTTTAATTTACGTCTTCTTCCGCTTGCAGCGCTATCTGTTGCTAACTTTTGAAACTAAATTTTTTCTTCTACCATACGCTTTCCGCCTTCTTCAATAATGTTCCTTTCAAATTTGACATCATTTTCATGAGTGGTTCTTTTTTTATAGCGTTTTGAAACTTAAACTTTAATTATAATCACCCTGTATTTATTAAATTAGCTTCGATTATTAATTTAAGCAAGTTACTGAAAGCACTGCAATCCATCTGACGCCATTCCAGTTTTGACGAAGAGCAATCCGAAAAATGGATAATTGTTGTATTAGCTGCATTCTTTAAGAGGTATTCAAAGTACACAGCGCCCGGTTTTCAACAAGAAGCGATAATGCATTCAAATCACATAAAGCTTTTATTACTCTTCTATAAAGTAAGTTCTATAAAATATTGAATCTTCTATAAAATAACGAATAATAATCTTTTCAATCTTTGCTCTCTTTTTAGGCCTTTGTTTAGGCATTAAATTGATAAAAATACTAATAAAATGAGTATAAAAGAAAATAATCATTAAAGGGAACTTTTATGTACGGAACGCAGACTTCATTTTTATAAATATATTCATATGCCTTTGACAATATTTTTCTTCCTTTTTTAGAATAAAAAAAAAATAAGAAATGGTGATATGCTTCGAAAACTAAATTTCTTATGCACTTGATTTTATAGCGTCTTCTTGAAAAACACTTAAAATAAATTGGATATTGATGAAAAGATGTAAGGGCAAATGGCAGGAGAAAAATTTTCTCATCTGAAATGTGAGTCTTTTTTTTTTTTTTTTTTTTTTTAGATGAACCTCCTTTTAAATTATCTTCACTTTTCCTAAGTTAATTTTTTCGTCAATAATCTTAATCGAAAATGCTTTTTCGAAGAGAAAAGAATAACTAGTTTCCAAAATTGGCTAAAAATTTCGCAAAAGGAAGCTTAAAACTAAGTACTTGCATAAAAGTATTCTTATTCCCTTTCAATTTCCGAACAAAATTTACTATGGCAGCAAAAGAAAACGAAATTCTATTTTTGGAGCACTGAGGGGTTTAAGTAAAACAGTTAAGGTTCAAAATAAGGATTAGAAGTCTGTAAAAAGGCAGCAAATTCTCTGAAATTTTACTGAAACGCCTCTAGCCTATAAAGACTGAAATTTGTTTAACATGCTTTTTTATTTTGCAGTATTAGTAGTATACTTGAATAATTTATTATATTTAAACAATTTTCTTATGCTTAAATAATGTTTTCCGTAATTTATGAAAGATAATAAATAATATATATTTAAGTTTATTATCTTTTATAAATTACGCAAAAAATTGTTCAAGCATAATGTCTTTCATCATTCCTTCCAATTATTAATTGATTGCAATTGATTTTTAAATAATTGGTTTTCGAAACATTTTTATTATTTATTGTAAATAGACTTATTGAAGCTTTCTGGGTGAGACAGCTCCGATAAGTCTATTTAAGAATTATTTTAAAAATCAATTTGAAGAAAAATAATAATTGGAAAGAATGATTTATTGCCTAATTTAAAAATGATTTCCTAATAATCTATTGCCTTTCAAAATTATTTGTAAAGGAATCATAAAAGTTCGTAATCATAATTAACACTGATATGTAATTATAATAATTAATATACAAGTAATAATATAGTACGGCCTCAAAATAATCACTGACACTTTAATGATATTCTACAGTTTGCTCACAAGTACAGAATAAATCAATTTCTTTATTTAAATGTGTACTGGAAATGAACTTACAAATAAAATATGTGATGTGGACACCCCATGTACGGCTTAATTGTGTATAGCATGTAATATTTTGCTGCACTTCATTTAAACTTATTTCCTCAAATTTCGTTAGATTTTATTCACTCAATGAATTCAGTTCTCACTTCGCGGCAAGGCAAAAATACATATCTTCAATAAATTGTAAAGAAAAACCTAAAACACAGATACAGTTAAAAACAGTTGTTACAGATACAGAACAGTTAAAAACAGATACAGTTAAAGACACTCATGTTGGTGCACTACTCGACTTAATTCACTATTCTGCTAAGAGTTTCAAACGTAAACAAATGGCTCGTTAAGTTTAATGCCACTTGAACTTTTAAATTGTTGATAATTCTACAACTATTGCAAGAAGATTAACTAAAGACATAAACACCTTAACCGGAACATAAGAACAACCCTTTTAAAGCCCTTTACCCTTTCAATCCCTTTTAAAGCAAAAAAAATGTACAATTTATCAATATATAAGAATAAAAAAACAGAGCTTACCCAGCCGGGTAAGAGGGTGGGTATATATATGAAGAACACTACATAGAATTTTTTCCGTAATAATAGATATCATATATTTTCCTACACCAAAACGATAGCAGAATAGAAAAAATACGAGTTCGAAAGAGAACTAAAATAAGCAATGGGAATTCGTTCTCTTTCGAATTAACGTCATTTTGTATACGTAAATAGAGAATTAAAAATGCTTATATAAAAAAACTTCCCAACTATATTAACAAAATGAATTTAGCGGGTGAATGTTTAAAGCTGATGCGCTTCGGTAATTATTACGCATGAGTTTTAATTTCAAGAAGTCGGTTTCAAGAGAAAATATATTAAAATGTGACGTTAATTGACACCATACAACAGATTAATTTACTTATATGAAAAATATTTTAGGTTCTTTCCAATATTTCTTTTACATAAAATAATCGCTAACAAGTTACAAATGTTAAAATCCTTTGTAAATTACATGATTTACAAGTAGTTTACACACTGCAATATTAATAATTGGAACAAGGTAATTACTTTTACTTTCCTAGAAATTCAAGTTTTTCAGTGAAGGAAGAAAAGGCGGAAGGAAGAATATTGTTGCCTTCCTGTGTTTTATGGACTTCCTATTTCTCAACAATAAATTAACAGAATTCCTCTATCAAAGAAACTGTACAGATTATATTGTAAGACATGACGATTATTTCTTTTTTCAAAGTAACGTCGGTTTACGAAGAGTAATGAGAAAATTTTTGAATCTTTGTAGTTATATGGCGAAGTGATGATAGAACTACAAAACGATAAAAAACAATACTTTTGCAGCTTCATCTTCTTGCAGTAATAAAGAAGTAAGTTCAGATAAGTATCATCTACACATTTTGTACTTTGTTTTACCTAACAGATTTATTTTTATTTCATTTATTATGCAGGATTATTCATAATTCATTGTTTCGTTTAAATGCATAGGAAATAAATTACACAATACATACAAAATTTAATTGAATTGAAACAAATGAGCTGACATTCGGCAAACATTGATACACTTAACGATTCAAAAATACGATAAAATATGTTGCGTTTACTTTTATTTTAACGCAGTAAAATTGATTAACAGTTGCATATTTGCTTGTCATTAATTTTTAAACTATTTCATTGAATTATAAATAAACTTATATACAGAAAATATTTCGTATATCATCTAAAATTTTCAGCTATTTTAAGTTTTAGATCAATGCATTTAGTTATATCATTTCTTTCTGTCTGTGGTTATGTGTGTGTGTGATTATGGCAAAGCCTCGAGGGCTATCTGCCTAAGGGAAGGGATGCTTTCGTGGAGGACTTTCTAAGGGAACTGGCTCGTATACACATTACACATGGGGAAAACCACGAAAACGCCCATGCAGCCAGCCCGTTCGCGGTATTCGAACCTCGGACCAAACTACCAGTGTTCAGCGATTTTACCGCTCAGCCGCTGGTGGGCTGTCTGGTTATGTATGCATAGATATATAATTTTCAACAAAGGATGACTACAGCGTTTATTATCTTAAGTCTTGATCCATCCGATTACATTTAAATACCTATAAAATACATGTCTAGTCATGTACTCCCAATTACATAGTTTTTTAAAATACGGTACATACGTATTTATGATAACATTGGATAAGGATTCGGGTCGGCTAGGTTAGGTTAATTGACTAAGCCAAAGCAAATCGAGAACTACCTGCCTATGGGAAAGGATGCTTTCGAGGGGGACTTTATAAGGGAAACTGGCTTGTTTCCACGTTACACGTGAGAAAACTGCAAAACCGAGATAGTGGTTGTTGTCAGGAGTAGATGGTTGGAAGATCCACTACTCCTGCCAACAACCTGCCAAGGTTTAACCTAGCACGAACTAATGTGCTCTGTTAACCCTTTTGCAAAGCAACCTCTAGAAACTGTTCAGTAAAACTAATCTTTAGCAATTTCAAACAAACAGGAAATTTAACATCCTAACATCGAAAATGTATAGTATTATATGTAAGAATGTCTATGGAAAATTGCATGTATATGTGACACTGTAACCTTTTGGAGAATAGTTGAAAATGGCATCCTGCCTGCTAGCTGTAACCACGGATAGCAGATATTGGATGGCATCTGCCAACATGATAATCACACCGAAAGACTCGTCAAGTTCTAGAGTCGGTGGTCATATTGGTAGTGTTTCCGGGGTCTCTTATTCAAAACTGGAGGGGGGCGGAACTGGGCAAAGCCGTACTGTCATATGTATGGTCCCAAGGCTCTTGCCAAAGACAAGAGCAATCTTGCCTCCTTGCCACGATGAATATCCTGATATCAGATAAGCGATATTAGTCGCAACAGCAGCAACAATGAACATAAGGAAATCAACGAAAAACAACCATGCAGCCAGCCCATTGGCCGGAATTCGATCCCAGGTCGAACTAGTGTTCAGTGACGTTACCCCTCGGTCGCTGGTGGGCCCCATTGGGCAAGGAAACACTGGAAGGAATTTCCACTGAAAAGGTTTCATAAATGCGAATTCGAACTTTTTATCTAGAACAAGCACAGCAAAGAAGATAGTTATTTAAATAAAACCGAACTCCCCTCACATCACTATGCCGAAAAATTTGCCAAGATATATTTATAAATAATATTCGCTCGGGAAGCAGACATTAAATAACGTCTGCTGTTTTATCCCTCACGAAAAAAAAGAAATTTACCTTTTATAATTGCAATTTCGAAAAAAGGTTTCGAGATATTTTACGGAATGTTTAACTTCACATTAAGCACCTGCTAGTTATCGGTTCATTTAAACTAAGAATTGACAGGCGGTAAATTTGTTTTGTAATATTTTCACGAATTCTTAATTAATTTATTAAAATATAATAATACATATTTTATTTTATTGGATCATTTGTTAAACGTAAATCCTATAAAAATTTTACATCTTTACACTCTTTCCGAGCAATATAAATTTTTATATTTTCACAAGATATTTAAAAGATTTTAATTTGTATATTTTCGCAAAATTTTCCATTCACATTGTTAACCCTGTTTTCAGAACATTCTCTGTAATATTTCGAATGATGCTGAAATTGGAAACGCATACCTAGGATCAGTATTTAGGAAATAGATTGAACGTGTATTCTTCTGAATACATTTCACATGCTGTAATAACCTCATTATGAAGATACTGTGGATTCTTGATATTTAAAAGCATCCGTTTTTCTAAAACATAAGCAACAATTTTAACTAGAATATTATTTCTTCATAGTCCGTTATGTCAACGAGACTTCGGGGGTGATCGAGCACACGAACAAAATAATAGGTATAATGTACGGCAATTCTCAAACATCTGTAACCCTCCAAAACACAACTACTCTAGATAAAGTAAATTATATTATCAGTTAATTTTCACAAGATTTTCAGGTAAATTTATTTCTAATAAGTGTTCTAAAAATAATGTTAAAAAGGTATTCTAAAAATATTTTTTTTTTCATTTTCCTTGGTGTTCATTCCTATTTTTCTTAGTCTCATTTACCCTCGCATTTGGGACAACTTAAGAAACTGCCATTTTCTCATAATTTTTCTCCTTCTCAGGTTACGGTTTTTCTCTTGATTTGCTCTCAATTTTCAATTTATTTTGAAACTTCTCTCTTTCTCTATTTTTCAGAGGGTTTTATTCTATTTAAGTGATAACTTTTTCATTAGTACTTACGTCTTTTAATTAATGTTCGAGTTTCTATGTATGCCTAATAAAGCACAATATTCTGTTTTTCATTTTTTAATGCTTTTTTTTTTCTCCGTTTTTTCTCATATATTTTGAGCTTTCAGTTTTGTGAACCTATGATTTTGTTTGACTGTCCATATAAACAATTACGATAAAGTACATGATGGCTATCTTCCGAAGAAGAGGATGCCTTTCTGGAGGACTTTTAAAGGAAAGTGACACGTATTCTCATTCTAAAAGGTAAAAGTGTTTCATCTTAAAAGTTCTTTTTTCGCTACAATCTTGTCTTCCATATTTTATGCTATTTTGTGAAAATCCTTTTCTCAGGTTTAATATTATTTGCAATGAAATTTGACTTTAATTAATTTTTATTGTCATTTTATAAGTTTATAAATATATATACATCAAAATTTTTTCTAATTTTTATACACTACCTAAATTTCACAAAACCCCATTAAAATTCACATTCATCGCCAATGGAGGTACTAAAAGAAATGGACTATAAGTTTCCTAAAACGCTAAGACGAATTCTCAACATCATTACTAATTCTGCTTATTTGAAACGCATTTTATAAGTGGACTATGTAACGATGGATTATCAATAACCAAGTACAGATTTTGACAACCATACAAGATCTAGAAATTAAAAATATTACGACTTCGAAATTTTACTACGACTTCGAAAATCTGTATACTACATTACCCTTACACGAAAATTTTAAAAATCTATTAATGCTACCAACATTTCCTCCCCAGATTCTTACGGTAGTGTCACAAGTAAATTAGTCCATTTACCTTAAAAAGTTTGTTGTTTCCCAATTACATCAAATTTAATAATATTATTTACAAACAGGATAACCGGATCTCTGTGGGGTTTAGCTCATCTTCTGCACGTAACTTACACCTCTTTACTAAAGAATTTTAATTCCCAAAATAGCTTAATAATGACTAATGGATCTGTTTTTCAAATATTTACAGATATGTAGATGATATCTTAACAATTAATAATTTTGAGAAAATCGAAGAAGCTAATATCTTTCCACCTTGCCTCAAACTTAAACAAACTTTCAATAAGATGATATAAATTAATTAGATTTGCAAATACTAGAATACTATATACGATTTATTCCGTATTAGATAACTTGATATTTTATGATAGCTTGATTAGGGAAGGCACATTTTATTCTGAATCATGACCGAAGAGGTGATAGAAATAGCAGACATACTGGTGACGTTATAACTAGAACTGACTGGAAGGAAAATGACAACTAGCTTGATGGTTAAAACATCCTTTTTATTTCCAATTTGGAGCAATCTTTGCAGACACATTTTTTTCTTAACTGGTAGAATACTAGGGGCGAATATAAAATATCAAAGAAAATCACTAACAAAATTTTGACAATAGACCTTCAAGTTTATGATTTAAAATATAAGAATCTGCACTGACGCCTGCAGTATTTCGCCTTTCGCAAAACTTTTTCCCAGTCGCTATTCAGAACTGAAACAAAGAATTTACGAGACATAAATACTTCAGCTGCTTTGAGTGCATTTTTTTTCCGCTCGCTCTGCTTGAATAACCAAGGTCTCAAAAACTTTACAGACTTTCAAACTGGATCCTAAATGTAATTTACAGAATCATATTTTCTTCTAGCATTTCTAAATTATACCTTGAAGCCATTTATTGCTTTCTCACTAGGAATTGTAAATATTGTACTAAATTTTTCCTTTGATTTTTTTTTATAAAAAGGGAGGGGAAGACAGAATGCGGACAAGGCAATTGAAGTCATTATATCTCAAAATTTCTTTGTTTGAGTTTTGGATAGCAACTGGGCAAGATGTTTCGCATGCGGAATACTGCAGGCGTCAATGCAGATGCGAAGGAAGCTATATTTATATTTTAAATCAGAAATTTAAAAGTGTATTGCCAAAATTTTGTTAGTGATTGTATTTCATATTTTAGATTTTACATATTAACCCACCAATCATAATTTTTTAAAAATTGCGAAATATCGCAGGCGTTAATGCAGATGTGAAGGAGGTTGTACTTATATTTTTAATCAGAAATTTAAAGGTTTGTTGTCAAATTTTGTTAATAATTGTTTTTTGTAATTTATATTTTACATATACGTATATATTCATTATTACAGTATTTTTTCTAACTACTTCTTTTTTTTCCAGAGTAACTAAATACATCTGAATAGCAATTATAAGCTTTAGTTTAAAAGCATTCGTAAATTTTAATCTATACATATGAGAACCGTTCTTCTCTCCTGGTTCAAATAGACAGCTTAATAAAATTTGATTCTAAATATTCTAAAGTAGTTATAATAACTATTTTTATTAATCAAAAGTGGTAATGTATATAGAATACATAACTTAAAAAATTACAGATAATAATTTCATAGAAAACATCACAAAATTTAAAACAGAAAGTCCAAGTAACAGCAGAAATAAATATATACAAAAAAATGGAAAATAATAAGGAAAGACATACAGAAAATTGTGCAAAGCATTCAACAGCATATCTGTTGTTCCTAAACAAAGTACACCTTCCCTTCAATTTACTCGATAGGTAAAATAAAACTAATTACATTACAATACAAAAAACTGCACACTTAACATGTACATAGAAGAATCATTATAACATAAAAAAAGGAAAAAAAAATATTGTTCTTTTTACGTCAGAAATTTGCAAATTGAAATATAATTTGTAATACTTTGAAAATTAAAAATAATAAAATAATTTAAATACAAGAATAAAAAAAGTAAATTAGTAAGAATGCCTTATGTTTGTCTTTTTTCAATAAAACCCTCACTTAATAAATTACGCAAAATTCATACTTCGTACACTGCATCTGTAATCTAAATTAATATATCACACTCAGGTTAAAATTTTGGAAACAAGAGGTTTTTTTTTTTCCTTATTTCTAAAACTATAAATGTGCTACAGAAAAGTCCTTTCATTCTGTTATTGCTGAAGAAAATTGAAAAAATTTAAATTTAAAAGTATTAAAGAAGAATGTTTCAAGGAAACAATAACTGTAAGATAAAAATTCGGGAAAAGTCTAAAAAATATATTTGTTAACATCATCAGAAACTCTCGATCCCTGAAATCTCTTAAGCTTGAATCGATATAGCTGAAGCAAATTAACAATATAGAAAGCATGAAGAACTTAAGAAGCTAAGAAATTTATTATTGTTTAAAATCAATAGTAACCACATTTTAGGTTTTCATATTTTCAATTAATTTTAGTAAATGATATCCTTTCTGAGTATCCAAGGAAGCGAATCTAATCCAAACAAGCATGTTTCTCATGCGCTTCTATACAGTCTGCATATTATAAAATACTTGAATGAACGAATGTTTTGCCTTTCCCTAAAAGTATCTGATGTAAATTGGAGGAGAGGTATAATTAACAAACTGAAATAAATACTTATTAAAGCTAAATGTACAGATCCTTGAGTTCTTGCAAAAAATATACATTTATAAACCCTGAGATTTGTGACTTCGATTTCAGGCATTAATAATTATATAATATGTAAATAAATTTACCCATTTCGTTCTCTATAATACAGAAGTATATAATGAAAATATAAATTTACACCTATATTTACAGAGTCTGTAAAATTCAAATTCCTATAACATTCTAATAATATTATAATACTGCTAAAAATTGACCGCACTATGAGTTCTGAATACAACTTCTCCAGAATATAATTATAGTATGTCATACCATTTTAATACATAACCGGTAAGATTGGTTTCACTTTATAGCTTTATCTAAAGTTCAGTAATCAATAAATGGCGATAATACTAATTCGGATGATAAAACACAATACATTTCAGTGAACGACTTGAAAGACACATACGACACGATTACTGAATATACAGGCTTTTCTTAAAAAACAGTTAATCTCATTAAAAATTGTACACAACATAACTAAAACGTTTCAGTTTGTTGTCCCCTTGTCTTATTAATAAAATTGCTTATAATTTTTACACATGTAAATTTTATATTGTATAAGCTGAGCAAACAATTGTTAATACAAAAATTCAATGAAAGATAAAATACAAAAACTAAATTCGATAGCAGTTTCATATTGCCCATTTTATGTAAAATATTTTTAATATAACAAATAATGAAAATATAAAAAATGAACTATATCTGCTTGAAGCACTGTGAAATATTTTTGTCGAGGTATTTACGACTAGCTTACCGAGTATTTTTAACACAGACTATTTGTTTTCAATACAAAATACATTTAAAAGAATAATATAATATGTTTATGGAATAGCACATACAATTCCTTAACTTGTATGACAGTCACGAGATGTTTAAACGCATTAACCACTATTACAAACTTCAACAATACTAAGTAGATAAATGCATAAATTGATAAATTGTATCAAAAATATGATTAACTGCCATGATTACGAGAAATAAAACATATAAATATACATATACTATTCATTAGGAAATTTCATATACTTCTCATGTATTTCACATTTGCCCATTTTTAAATGTTTACAACATTCACTAGCATAATGCTATTCACACTGCATGCCTGGATATATAACTAGATTAAGTCAAGAACGTAGACAATAACGTATTATAAGTACTCAGCTCTCATCACAGATAAAACATATTTCTGAAATATATCAGTTTCTTTCATTTTCTAAACTTGACTCAATACAGGACTTCTTTTTAAGTATATCTAGTATCTTAATCTAGCTATATTTCCAGGCGCCAATAGTACATTCTTACTACTAAATCAGTACTGACATCTGAAAATTTAGAAACTAATGCTCCCGAATGAACAGTTATGTGCAATGCTAATCATTTACAGAAGAATGTGCATAACAGACTACCACCAGTCAAGGACAGAATATAATGCACGAAGCTTGTATCTCTCTCAGTTTTAAAGTGCACTTAAGTCTTTCTGGAGTTCAGTGAAAAACTGTGAAAGTTTTGTTAGAAAAGAAGCACTGAAGATGTGCCGCACATATCATTTTATGACAATATAGTGTCCATGAACACAGTACACATTTTTTTCACTCAAAACTGATCCTTAATACTCCTCGCAGGAAGAAGTAAATAAGAGTGTTTAGCCATAAATATGGAATTTTAAAGATGTGCATGAGTTGAAGACTTAATGGGTGCTTTAAGGAGGCATGGGACAAGGTGCAAGAAGATAATGTCTGGTAGCAGGTGTCATCAGAAGGGCCTTTACCAAGCACAGAAATAGGAGAGTGGACCAGACCAAGAGAGGCTCTGCAATGGCATATGGACTACCTGCACTCCTGGTCCCTGTCGAGGGGTACGAAGCCCGACTGAGATTCACTCTCGATTCTTGAGACCCGACAGAGAACTCAAGCCAAGACCCTACAGCAAAAAGCAACACAAAAGGAAAAAAATAAGTCACAAAACACTAAAAAAATAAATTTAATGTTTAAAACAAAAAAAAAAAAAAAAACAAAAAAAAAAAAAAAAAAAAACGCAAAAAACAAGGAGAAAAATCAAATAATCCTGAAGGAATGGGAAAGCAAGCAAGAAGGAATGAGAGCTTTTTTTTTTTCTTTTTTTTTTTGTGGGGGGGAGGGGCTTATTTTCCAAGGAACTTTTTTTTATCTAATGCTATCAAAAGCATTATTTTAATTTGGATGAGGGAAATGATTAATAAATAAATATATGAATAAAAGTTCAAAAGTAAATAAATAAATAACCGAAAAAAAATAGTTATAAAAAATAAATAAAGCAAATTAACAGACGCATGCAGACTACTATATACTACGAAAGAAAAAAAGAGAAAGCGATAAACAGCCCAGCGTTACGAAAAGAAGTTACTCTTTACACTCTATGGAAGCTATATGCGAAGGGTGATGTTTCAAATACCCTTGGATTAGGGAAATATACTTACTGTTCGAAAAATGTACAGCAAACAGAAGAAAAAAAATCACATAAAATTTAATAATTCGAATTAAATTTAAAAATATGTATGAAGGATGTAAAATGTGGCGTGAAATAAATTTAAATAGATAAACGCTTCATATTACAGACAAAGAATCTTTGAAAATTAATTCGTTTTAGTTTAAAATCGTAAATTTTAACAGCTGCATGAAATTTGAAATAACCAGTATATGAACAACAAGTGGAAAGAAACCACACCAGCGATGAAAGAAAATGAAATATTTGTACTGATGCCAGAGCTCGAAAACAAACTAATGAAGCGAGACCAGATAATTCCAGAAAACTTCGGCGTCATAATATTACATCATCCCTTTACTAAAATATAAGGTAGCTCAGGTCAGATGTAGTGCAGCATAAGTCTGGGACGTTTTGGCTTCCACACGAAAACTAGTTTCTCGAATAATCGTATTTCATATGCATACAGTCTTTCTTTCTTTCATATAATCCTTTGCATACTCTAACAAATAACGACACAGATCTTCGCCTTTGTGTCCGTCCAACACGTCCTTATATGTAATAGCTCATCCGGAAACATGGCAAGAGAATTTATTTTTAAATATTCATGGTATGAACATTTTAAATAGAAAGAACCTAGAACCTCAATAGTAATACGGTAACAATCCTAGAAGCTGGCCAATCCTATTAATCCTAGAAAATGGCTATCCAATACTAATAATGCAATTCTAGAAGCAGAAGCAGAATCCATTGAAGCAGAAGTATTTTGCTAATATTGACGGCTATAGAAATAAATTTTGAAACACAAGTGCACTCGCCTTCATGTGTTTCATAATTATCCCTGCATAAAGGATAACTGACAAAACATTTTAAAGAAAACACGATATTATCAGAGCTAACCAGCTACCGACACATTTTATGATATCGTAGTACTGGTCCTGGTACTGCTATTGGTTTCAAGGTTGACAGGAAGGCCGAAACGGTTCTGGCTCCATTGACTTCAGGACATTTAAGGGCCTTTAGATATTCCTATGGTACTAAAACTTTTTCAACTTGCGCCAAATGTAAAAACCATGAAGCTACTGCGCATCATGTATTTAGTTGTGTTGCCTTGGTGCTTAAAGATCTGCTGAAGAGACCTAATTTCTTGTTGGAAGTTACGAAGGCGAATAAACTCATTTGATTCAGATCAGAGGGATTTGTAAGAAGACATGATATTATTGATATTATAAGATATAATATTATTGCTATTATTGAAGAATTTTTTTACTTTGATTTTTCAAATATCTTTATAGCTTGCCGTAATGAAAAAAACTTAATCGCATTTTCATTCAATTCCAGAAAATGAGATTTCATTACACTGAAATGTATAGCTACCGTATATTATTCTATTTATAGCTTTTGGAAGTACATTTGAAGGGCAAATCTACTAAACGGAAAACAATTAAACATTTAAAATTCTGGTTGCTGATGCTCCATTTATATTATAATTCATTTCATGGAAAGAAATCTTTTACATCATGTTCAGTTTGATTGATCCCAAAAGGTGGCTGTTTTATTGTTTTAGATATGATTCATAGATATGGACTTATAGCTGCGAAGTTTTTGCTGATGCTCCATTTATATTATAATTCATTTCATGGAAAGAAATCTTTTACATCATGTTCAGTTTGATTGATCCCAAAAGGTGGCTGTTTTATTGTTTTAGATATGATTCATAGATATGGACTTATAGCTGCGAAGTTTTTGCTGATGCTCCCATTTATATTATAATTCATTTCATGGAAAGAAATCTTTTACATCATGTTCAGTTTGATTGATCCCAAAAGGTGGCTGTTTTATTGTTTTAGATATGATTCATAGATATGGACTTATAGCTGCGAAGTTTTTGCTGATGCTCCATTTATATTATAATTCATTTCATGGAAAGAAATCTTTTACATCATGTTCAGTTTGATTGATCCCAAAAGGTGGCTGTTTTATTGTTTTAGATATGATTCATAGATATGGACTTATAGCTGCGAAGTTTTTGCTGATGCTCCATTTATATTATAATTCATTTCATGGAAAGAAATCTTTTACATCATGTTCAGTTTGATTGATCCCAAAAGGTGGCTGTTTTATTGTTTTAGATATGATTCATAGATATGGACTTATAGCTGCGAAGTTTTGCTGATGCTCCATTTATATTATAATTCATTTCATGGAAAGAAATCTTTTACATCATGTTCAGTTGATTGATCCCAAAAGGTGGCTGTTTTATTGTTTTAGATATGATTCATAAATATGGACTTATAGCTGCGAAGTTTTTGCTGATGCTCCATTTATATTATAATTCATTTCATGGAAAGAAATCTTTTACATCATGTTCAGTTTGATTGATCCCAAAAGGTGGCTGTTTTATTGTTTTAGATATGATTCATAGATATGGACTTATAGCTGCGAAGTTTTTGCTGATGCTCCATTTATATTATAATTCATTTCATGGAAAGAAATCTTTTACATCATGTTCAGTTTGATTGATCCCAAAAGGTGGCTGTTTTATTGTTTTAGATATGATTCATAGATATGGACTTATAGCTGCGAAGTTTTTGCTGATGCTCCATTTATATTATAATTCATTTCATGGAAAGCTTTTACATCATGTTCAGTTTGATTGATCCCAAAAGGTGGCTGTTTTATTGTTTTAGATATGATTCATAGATATGGACTTATAGCTGCGAAGTTTTTGCTGATGCTCCATTTATATTATAATTCATTTCATGGAAAGAAATCTTTTACATCATGTTCAGTTTGATTGATCCCAAAAGGTGGCTGTTTTATTGTTTTAGATATGATTCATAGATATGGACTTATAGCTGCGAAGTTTTTGCTGATGCTCCATTTATATTATAATTCATTTCATGGAAAGAAATCTTTTACATCATGTTCAGTTTGATTGATCCCAAAAGGTGGCTGTTTTATTGTTTTAGATATGATTCATAGATATGGACTTATAGCTGCGAAGTTTTTGCTGATGCTCCATTTATATTATAATTCATTTCATGGAAAGAAATCTTTTACATCATGTTCAGTTTGATTGATCCCAAAAGGTGGCTGTTTTATTGTTTTAGATATGATTCATAGATATGGACTTATAGCTGCGAAGTTTTTTGCTGATGCTCCATTTATATTATAATTCATTTCATGGAAAGAAATCTTTTACATCATGTTCAGTTTGATTGATCCCAAAAGGTGGCTGTTTTATTGTTTTTAGATATGATTCATAGATATGGACTTATAGCTGCGAAGTTTTTGCTGATGCTCCATTTATATTATAATTCATTTCATGGAAAGAAAGAAATCTTTTACATCATGTTCAGTTTGATTGATCCCAAAAGGTGGCTGTTTTATTGTTTTAGATATGATTCATAGATATGGACTTATAGCTGCGAAGTTTTTGCTGATGCTCCATTTATATTATAATTCATTTCATGGAAAGAAATCTTTTACATCATGTTCAGTTTTGATTGATCCCAAAAGGTGGCTGTTTTTGTTTTAGATATGATTCATAGATATGGACTTATAGCTGCGAAGTTTTTGCTGATGCTCCATTTATATTATAATTCATTTCATGGAAAGAAATCTTTTACATCATGTTCAGTTTGATTGATCCCAAAAGGTGGCTGTTTTATTTGTTTTAGATATGATTCATAGATATGGACTTATAGCTGCGAAGTTTTTGCTGATGCTCCATTTATATTATAATTCATTTCATGGAAAGAAATCTTTTACATCATGTTCAGTTTGATTGATCCCAAAAGGTGGCTGTTTTATTGTTTAGATATGATTCATAGATATGGACTTATAGCTGCGAAGTTTTTGCTGATGCTCCATTTATATTATAATTCATTTCATGGAAAGAAATCTTTTACATCATGTTCAATTTGATTGATCCCAAAAGGTGGCTGTTTTTATTGTTTTAGATATGATTCATAGATATGGACTTATAGCTGCGAAAGTTTTTTGCTGAATGCTCCATTTATATTATAATTCATTTCATGGAAAAAGAAATCTTTTACATCATGTTCAGTTTGATTGATCCCAAAAGGTGGCTGTTTTATTGTTTTAGATATGATTCATAGATATGGACTTATAGCTGCGAAGTTTTGCTGATGCTCCATTTATATTATAATTCATTTCATGGAAAGAAATCTTTTACATCATGTTCAATTTGATTGATCCCAAAAGGTGGCTGTTTTATTGTTTTAGATATGATTCATAGATATGGACTTATAGCTGCGAAGTTTTTACTGATGCTCCATTTATATTATAATTCATTTCATGGAAAGAAATCTTTTACATCATGTTCAGTTTGATTGATCCCAAAAGGTGGCTGTTTTATTGTTTTAGATATGATTCATAGATATGGACTTATAGCTGCGAAGTTTTTGCTGATGCTCCATTTATATTATAATTCATTTCATGGAAAGAAATCTTTTACATCATGTTCAGTTTGATTGATCCCAAAAGGTGGCTGTTTTATTGTTTTAGATATGATTCATAGATATGGACTTATAGCTGCGAAGTTTTCATAGAAAACTACAGAGTTTTGTGGAAACGGTTTCAACACAGTGAGAAAGTTTTGAAAAGATATGCAACATTTTGTTTTATCCCATTCTTAGAGAAAAGTTCAAGTTAAATATTTGCCATGTTTTAACGTGTTATAAGCAAAAGGTTCCTTATAGGCATGCGTAAGATTCACAAGTTATTCAGGAATGAGATAATTTCGAAATATTTCTCAGATTTATTCTAAATATCTTGAATTAAACAATTAGCGACAAATCAAAAGATGCTCTTTGGGTTATTAACGATACAACACTTGTTAAAATGGCGTCATTTATTGAATTTGCAATTCTCACTATAAAAACATTAATTATGCATATCATAGTGAATATTACACTTAAAGATATTCAAATTTTCGTACTGAACTTATTAAAGCGTAAAGAATATTTCAATAAATTAAATATATACTGTACACAGATATACTTCATACATTCAGTGTTGAAACTTTTTCTTTAAAGTTTCTTACCTCATTCCGTGAAAGAATTAGACTATTTGGTAATGATAAATATACTAGACAGTAGGGACTAGGGATACTAGTTTAAAGGGAAGCATTTTTTCGCGGAGGCCATTTTAAGGGTAATTTTTCCCATTGTGTGAGAATCTAATTCATTATCAGTCGTTACACAACTGGGAAAACTGCGAAATTACCTCGGATAGTTCGGGTTCTAGTCAATCTGATATACACTCGGCCACCGCTGGTCTGCTCATTTTGAGAAACGTAATTAAAAGTAAATATTAGGATTGATATTTGAAGAACTATACTAAAGACCATATCTATTCGCTTTACAAACAATATGTACATAACATTCATACGATATCATGATCTAAATGTTTCTTCACTCAATAATATTTTACTACCTTATTTTTGAAAATTGGTGTAATATGACTAACCATCGACATTCAAAACCTTGACTGCTCTGTTTAGCTTGAAATAAGAGTTGTAGCTAAGTCCTTCATTTAACTTCTAATTTGTATAACAGTGTAAATCTTAGTATAATTAACAAGTTAAAAAGTGCTTTCTCCCTCCTTTCCGCATGCCTTCGTGGTGTAATTGGAAGTGTACTCGAAGCGTATTCGACAGGTCCAGAGTTCGAGTCCCGGCGAGGGCACTTCACATTTTTCACGCCTCCTGCTTCAAAAACACCTAATGACTCTACAAAGTCAATAATTTTTTCTCAATAATACTTTAAGGTTTTTAAATAAAGGAAAAGTTTGACAACACTAACGTCATTACGACTATTAATAAAAGATGTTTTTAATGCCGTACGTCATGTGCTTTAGTACCAAAACATGTGTCTAATTCCCAACTGTACAAATAATAAAAATTCATAATTATAATAAGCAACATACAAAATAGAATTCCTTATACGTTTTTCATTTCTTAAATCTTGTATTATCGGTATAGAATATGTTTTATTAGACAGCAAGAGCGTATACTTTTTTCCGAAGTTTCTAGTAAGCCAATTTCTATTCATAATATTTTCCGTCACCATGATTTCCGTTTTAATTTGTATATAATATAAATATAAAATAGAATTTTTCTTTTAAAAAAAAATTCAGGATTTTTAATGCACTTGTCAGACTATTATAGGATACGGCATTTAACACTATTCAGGTGTAAAGAGAAGTGCTGTATAAGGAAGACTCCAATCTCTTTCAAAATGTATAGTTTTATTTAAAATAAATATAAATCTGAAACTTAATTTTGCTTAGCTTTTAAAAAATAAGGCTACAACTTTTCTATTCATTTAATTTCACTAATTTATATTTTAAACATTTATTTATGTTATTTACCTATTTCTTTTTTTTTCCAGCGAAAGAACTGAAAAGGACTAAAAGACACAGCGAGCACATAACATTTTCCTTAAAGAAGTAATACTGCAAAATTTTTCTGTGCAATTTTTCAGGAATAAATTTAGTGAATCAGATCCTGCATGGTTTATTGGAATAGATTACTGAGGCTACGGAAAAATACACGAGGGTGATCTACCAACGGAAACGAAAGACTTGGGGAGGGCTTTCTGAGGGTTTATTTGTTTGTTGAGATTATAGCAAAGCACACGGCAACTATTCTCGTAGAGTAAAGGATGCCTTCGTGGAGGACGTATCGACGTTACCCGTGAGAAAATTCTCATGTAGCCAACCTTTATTGATAAAGACAAACTTAGATTTAAAATTTACACAGTTCCATATATGTTTATAATTGCACATTTTAACATGTTAAACACTTCCTCATCCAGTTATCGCACATCTCCCATCGCCCAGGATTATTTTATCTAACTATGAAAGGATCTGCAAACAATTCTAGTAATAAACGTATTTTATAGTGATAACATACAAAGCAGCATAAAAAATGTCCTAATGAATCTGCAGAAAACAGTTAATTAAAGTCTTAGTCTCTTATTTCAGAGTAAACAAAAGATTAGTTCGTACGGATGTTACCATATGTGCTTTATGGTATCATAATGCATGCATGTTGAGAACTGCAAAGCATTAGTTACCAGAATTATAATTATAAAGCATGATTTCTGACTTCTTCTGAGGCCAAAACGCAGGGATCGATCACATTCAGATGTCCACTAGCAGCCGACCGGTAAAGTCACTGAACATTGGTAGTTCCGATCTGGGTTCGGTTCCAGGCGAACGGGTTAGCTGCACGGGTATTTTCGTGGTTTTGTGTATACAAGCCAGTTTCTTTTAGAAATTCATCCCTCGCCTTAGGCAGACAGCCCTAGTGTGATTTAGTTACGGCTCTGGCTCGGCTCTAGTGTGCTAAGCTAGACAGCCCTAGTGTACAGCAAAGCCCTAGTGTGCTTTGCCGTAATCTCAATAAACCAAACCAATGACATTCAGAATTTACCTAGGAATATCATTCAAATCTGAGTCGACTGTGCGCCGAGATTATCAAAACGTTAGAAAGACCTTATCATCAAAACTTATGGTGTCTGAAGAGTATAAATTTGGCGAAAGCACAGAAAGCTCTCAATCCGACCTGCTTAAGCAGAGATGCTTGACTTAGTTGATCGTAAAAATTCACTCTGAAAGGAAATCAAGTCTTCAGTTCCAACAGCGTTAGAAAGAAAAACGAATCGTTGCTAATGATGCTATAAACATGAATGCGACTACTAAATATACAGTGAAAGATATTACTGTTTAACTAAAATTACAAATACAGAGTGACCCATTGGTTGCCAGGCTTTCGGCAAATATGCTTTATTTTATATAATATATGTAAATTAATGATCATATTATTACGCTCTTCATATATTCCTGAGTAATAAAAATTCCGAATTAAACCTGCTTATTCGTATTATTTTTTTATATAATTTAAAATTTTAAGAACTCGAAAAATTGATAATATAAATTTTCTTGAGCACGTGCATTATGTTTCACGTAAATATAATGCCGCATTTACGACAGTTTTAGCCTTATAAAACAATAATTCTAAATTGAATTATCGTGTTGAAAGATTTAATTTCACACATGTAAATTAGATTAACCAAACCAAACCTGTTTTATGCAGATCCTACTTGGGATACTGCACTGAAATCGGACAGACAGGAAATTGACGTTTTCCATAATAAAGTGCTTAGAAGCACAAATTCACAAGGACTTCAATACGTGAAGTTACATGACTATTTCACACAAGGTTTTCAGAAAAATTTCAGAATCACAGTATCCAGCAGTTTTTGAATTAGAGGAACACGATCCGAGCATACAAAATGATATTCCAAAGGCCTCACATTATTTACCAAAATGTTGGATGAGGATTTTTTTTAAACCTTAAGCAGCTTTCTGCTTTACATATTTTGATCGCAGCTTCGTACTTTGTGTTAATATTTGCATATTTACTCAAGATTATTTCTACAGGCAAGAATTATTTCATAATTACTTGGTATTCTTTTATGTATCCTATACACATTTTGTCCTGGTAGTCAGGAACATGTTTAGTTACTTTATTGCAACATGCATCATTACTATTTTGATTTTATGTGCCTATGTTATATTGATCTAATGCAACTTGTATATCTCATAGCCTCGTTTCACGGAGCACATCAGCAGGCAAACGGGACTTGCAGTTGAAATTAGACGAAAACGCAGCAGCAATATCTGGAGTCAACACCTTAGAGAGTAACCACATGTGAATTTCTCCTCTCGTCTGTGGCTATTTTATTCACGGATGGCAATGTGATTTTTCAACCGTTATTTTAATTTTATGTACAATTCGTATTGTGTACCAAATATTACGTTAATCTTAGAGAACATAATGATAATTATCGGTAAAATCTCTTTAGAGCTGCAAGCCAGCTAGCTATACGAAGAAGATCCAAGATCCCATTTTTCAAGCAAATTTTTGCTCTTGAAGAAGATTTGTGTCTGATCGCTCTCGAAATCGATAAAGTTTCATTTAAAATTTAAGCCAGTTTATGATCTCTTTTTATTAGCGCTGGGGCCATAGTCTGTAACTTCACTTGCGACTTTCTGGCAATAGCAGAGGCACTTGACATAATAGATATCTTCCCATATCTGGGCAAGCAAAAGGATTCATTGGCTTCTGTGACTCAAAGACAGTTCTACAGGCAATCCTAGATGGAAGCTCCCTGATCACCAACGGGATCCACTTTCGTCTAAATGAGGTTCAAAAGTTAGATAAGGTCTGCATTCTTCAATGGTTAAATTGAAGTCAACATCACAGGTAACTAGAACGCAGATAAGCAGACAAAACATGTAAGGATCTTAAGTTTTACTAACGTTTATTTTATTTTAAATCTTTACTATCATTTCTTATTTTCTACTTCCGGCCAGAATTATAAGCGTGAAGGATTTTATGCAAAGTTGTCTGGCGAACGCCAAGTATTTAAGTGTGGCCTTTTTGCCAAGCAGGAGAGAGGAAGCAGTGAGTTCGAAGCAGGCCGCTTACCTTAGAAGTTACGCAGTTGCTATTTGCCTTCCAGGCCAGAGGTTTTAATCCTCTTGATAAATTAAACGTATTGTAGTGTTCACAGTCTCTGTGCTACATACGCTTCCTGTTATTATAAGGCCAATCTTATTCTAAAGTTAAATTAGAGTTTAGTTTTATTTTGATATCTTTTACGTTAGACCCCGAGTGGAGGGTCATTGTATTCCGAAGTACGGAAGTCATTGTATATAAAGAAAAATAAAGGGTTTTGTATACCCTTCGTCTGTATCCTGTCTACTTACTACAATTAGTGAACATAGCTTTAGTAAGCTCTCTGTTCCTAGTCAGGTCATTGTATGTTTCCGAAGAAGGTTAGAAGAAACATTGAACCTGATAGTGGCGCCCGACGAAGAATAACCATGGCCGAATTTCAAGAAGAACCTGTGCTGCCTGCAGAAAAAGGGCTCAGAATCCAGAAATGCCAGCTGCCGCCCTGGAAGGATTTGGGTACATCGTCCAGACCATGCGCGCTTCGATGAAACCAGAAGCAACGTTTAATGGAAACTCACAGGTAACCAGTTTTTTGGAAAAATTGGATGACCACTTCATGCTCTACCCCGTGCACGAGTTTCAAAAAGTTACCTTAGCTACCAGCGCTTTGAGGGGCCAAGCGCTTAACTGGTTCAAATGTATCGGCAGAAGTCTCTTCTTGGGTCAAGCAGGAAGTCCCACCTATACTTACGAAAATTTCAAGACTGCCCTACTAAAAGCCTTCCCTGTTGTAAGGGATCGTGCGAAATTAGAAACAGAAGAACTTTTCAGTATATATCAACAAAGAATGGAAAACCTCTCGAGCTTTATTTTAAGAAAAATTCACGTTTTCAAGCTCTTGTATGGAAACCGTCCGGATCCTGAAATAATTCAAGTGATTTTGCCGAGGTTACTACCCCAAGTGCAAGACTTTATTGAATTAAGAAATCCGACTACACTGAAAAAGTTATTTGAGCTAGCAATCCAGTTTGAAAGTAGAAGAACGGCGGACGTCGAAAGAAGACGCCAATATCAACAGCGAAACCAATTTGGTACGCCAAGACTACAGCAAACTCAAGCACATGGCTACGGAGAAAAAAAAGCGAATCAGTGGGCAAGGAAACCCGAGCATTCAAAAACAGCCGGCGAACGTCGACAGTTCAATAGCAACCCAGGAAAAAAGTCTCAAGGCCAGTGGAGAAAGAAGGAAAGAAGAAGGAAAGCACCGAAAGGAAAAAAAAAAAATAATTTAAACTAAAACGGATTTCTGCTGACGAGAGGGTGCGGAAATCCGAAGGCCACGAAAACCCCTCTTCCTACAAGTTAAATACAGTAATGGTGAAAAATTTAACTCTTCCGAAGATTGAAGTCTTGGTAAATAATATCCCGGCCACCGCACTCCTGGATACCGGCGCGCAGTGTTCCTGTGTGGCAGAAGTCTTTTTTAGAAAGTATTTTCGCAAATACCGCATATATAATGCGGATAATACAACAGTATTAGCGGCGCAAGGAGAACAATGTAAGTGCGTAGGTAAAGTACCTTTGTACATCCGTATCAAGGACGAACAAGTAAAGGTGATGTTTTTTATAGTAAAGAATTTGCAAGCACATTTAATCCTAGGAATAGACTTTCTTTCAGACGCACAAGCTACACTGGATTTTAATGAAGCGTCCCTTAAGCTGACGATGAAACCAGTGCGTGTAGAAAAGGTTGAACCGCCAAGGTTAAATCTTGACCACCTGCCTAATGACGAGCAAGATAGAATCCGACAAGTGGTAAGTGAATTTGCTTCCTTATTTAGTGATATTCCAGGATTTACTCAGGTTACTAACCATAGTATTGACACCGGAGATGCATTGCCGGTTCGTCAAAAACCATACCGGTATGATAAGAATAAGGAAAAAATTATAGAATGGCATATTACCGATATGCTACGTAAAAAGATCATAACGCCTATCTCAAGTAGTTATGCTAGTCCGGTGGTTTTATGTAAGAAAAATAATGATTATCCTTTGGAGCATCCAAAAAGGTGGAGATTCGCTATTGATTACCGTAAATTAAATTCCATAACGAAATATCCGGTATATCCGTTACCGATCATAGAAGAAATTTTAAGGAACATAAAATCAACCAAATTTATGACGACTTTAGACTTAACGAATGGTTATTTTCAAATAGGGGTCAGGCCTGAGGACGTGCCTAAGACTGCTTTTATAACCAAGTCTGGCACTTATGCATTTTTGCGTATGCCGTTTGGCCTTTCAGGCGCCCCAGCAACATTTCAGCGATGCATGGACATTGTGTTAAGACCTGTTCTTGGAAAGTCCACATTTATCTATTTAGACGATATCATTATTACTAGTGATAATCTCGACCAACATATACAGGATTTAAGACAGGTGTTTTCTTTATTAAATGAGGCCGGTCTAAAAGTTAATGTCGAAAAGTGCAAATTTGCAGCCCCTGAATTAAAATATTTAGGTTACAAAATATCGCAAAAAGGGATCGAGACAGATGAATCAAAAATAATCGCTGTACAAAAGTATCCGACTCCAAACACGGCAAAGAAGCTCTCTTCTTTTCTAGGACTTTGTTCATATTATAGGTCCTTTATAAAAGATTTTGCGGCTATCGCTGAGCCATTGTTAAAATTAAAAAGGAAAAAGGCAAGATTCTCGTGGACGGCCGAAGCCAATAGTGCTTTCGAAAAATTAAAACAAGCATTAACGCAAGCCCCTGTGTTGAAATTTCCTGAAAAGGATGAAAATTTAGAAATTTCAGCGGATGCTTCGGATTATGCGGTAGGAGCGGTACTTTCGCAAAATCAGCAGCCCGTGGCATTTTTTAGCCGAACTTTAAATCAAACACAAAGAAACTATTCCGCGACCGAGAGAGAGGCACTTGCAGTTCTGTTAGCAGTGCAAAAGTTCCGAGTCTATTTTGGAAAGGCGCCGATAACAGTATATTCTGATCATGCGGCGGTAACTAGATTGTACTCAGGGAAAAATTTATCCCCAAGGTTAATAAGATGGGCACTCAAGCTGCAAGAATATAATCTGGTAATCAAGCATACCCCCGGAAAGGAAAATATCGTAGCAGATGCCCTATCACGAATTAAATTAGACGAACAGGGTAATACCGTAAAAGTTGCAATGCTGACAGCGTGTACAATAAATTCCCGAGAAACTGTAATAACCGAACTGGGTAAGGATCCTGAGTTTGGAAGTATTTATGAGTATTTGAAGGATCCTGAAAATTTTAGCCACCAAGATATTGTGGCGATAAGAAATAGGGCGGCCCATTACGAACTAATAGATGGTCTATTATTTTATACAAAAACTACGAATTCCAACAACGAATTTCGACCTG